AGTTTGCATTCCCACCAACAGTGTAGGAGTGTTCTCCTTGCTCTACATCCTCTCCAACATAAGCTGTCTTTAGTGTTTCTGATCTTAGGCATTCTGACAGCTGTAAGATGGTATCTCAGAGTCATTTTGATTTGCATTTCCTTGATGATTAAGGATGTTGAGCAATTTCTTAAATGTCTTTCAGCCATTTGAGCTTCTTCTATTGAGAATTCTCTGTTTATCTCTATAGCCCATTTTTTAATTAGACTGTTGGATATTTGATTTCTAATTTCTTGAGTTTTTATATATTCTGAATATCAGTCCTCTGTCAGATGTGGGGTTGGTGAAGATCTTTTCCCATTCTGTAGGCTGTTGTTTTGTCTTTTTGAGACCATGATTGGAAAAAGTACAGGGACAAATAGCCAAACCAGCAGAAACACATGAACTGTGAACCAACAGCTGAGGAGCCCCCATGAAACTGGATGAGGCCTTCTAGATAAGTGAGATGGCTGATAAGCTTGAACTGTTTAGGAGGCCCCTAGGCAGTGGGACCAGGACCTGAACTTGGAGCATGAGCTGGCTTTTTGGAACCTAGGGCCTATCCTAAGATACTTTGCTCAGCCTTGGTGCAGAGAGGAGGGGACTTGATTTGCCTCAACTGAATCTACCAGGCTGGGCTGAATCCCCAGGGGAGATCTTGCCTTGGAGGAGGTGGGAATGGGGAGTGAATTGAGGGGGAAGGCTGGGGTGGGAGGAGGGAGGACAAGGGAATCTGTGACTGATTGTAAAATTAAATTAATTATAAAATAAAAATATTTATTAAAAAGGGAAAAAAAGAAATGTAGTATAGTACATGAATTCCCTTTTCCCTTCTTTAATTTCTTTTGGTTTAGTATTTCTCTTTATGACCTTTTCCCCTTTAAGAGGTAGCCAGAACATTTTTTACAGCAATGCCCACCAACAGCCATAAAAAAGCTGACAGGTAATGCTTTGTATGATTCTTCTCAACTTTATGGCCCTGAGAAAAAAAGGCTTGTAACCTTGCTATTGCCAAGGTTTATGTCCTTATAAACTGGAAACATTTGAAACTTGAGGCAGAACAAAAAAGGGACATGACTGGACATCATTTGTGTGAATTTTTTCTTTACCACTGAGATTAGAAATATCCTAAATTCCCTTGGCCTCACTGTGGCTTCTCACCTGAACCCAGGAGGTGGCCTTGCAGAGCTGGACTCCAAGGCCACCAATACTCCATACTTCAATGCCTTTTCTAGTCTGGAAAGCAAAAGGGCAAAGGATCATGCACTGATTTTTCTTACTCTCAGAGTTAAATTAATCCTCTCTTCAGTGTTGATTCAGCACAGGAATGAAACTTAATAAAAGGGAAATTAATTTATCACTTGAAATGTTTGCCATTAGAGAAATGTATGGAAAATAAACAATCCCATTGCCAAGATTAAGGCAGCAAAAATTTCTCTTATTGACAGTTGTTTTGTATATATTGATGAGTCCCATGTAAAGAACCAGAAATCATTACATTGAGAAACAAATGTTCATTTACATAGTGATCAATGCAATGACATAAAATTCAACCCACCTCTGTAAATCCTGTGGCCCACTGTATCATATGATCAGACAGAAACAGTTGTTGACTCTGCGGAGCTTTTGGAGAAAATGTTCCAACTTTCATATTTTGTCTGAGACCAGTTGGAAAATTCCAGACATTGAAAATATCATACTTTTCCTCTAATTTCATTTGTGAATCTAAAACCACATGGTGTCCAACACTATTTGTGAAATTGATTTGCTTGAGAAAAGGGAGAAGCTAAGAGAAATGTAAAAACTTATGATGAATTCAGTCCCCTAAAAGTTCTACTAAACCAAATAAAACAAAATCTCTAATTGACTTTAATCCCTGAGGTGAAATGCAAGTTACAACAAGCTATTATTATTTTAATGATGAAAGCTTCCAAAATGACACAAGCATAATATTTCTAAACTGTCAGTGAGTGTTAAAAGAAAGCACTGGCACATACAGTCACGCACACA